TGAAGAAGGTTTCGGACCCAGAAAAGTGGGCCACGCTGGGGCGAGCTCGCAATTCTGAACCACGGGAGCAAAGCGCCGAGCCAAAACTTACGCCGATGCTGCAGCGGCAGCGTAATTTTGAAGCACCAGAATCAATCGGATCGTAAAATACCATAGGGAAGACCAGCTCGCCCCATTATTTGCGTTAAAGCAATGCGAGAATGAGGGGCGGACGCTCTCAGTACATTTACGGGGGAGAGAGGAGAGTAGTATTCATATTGTGTACTTGTAAAATGAACACAGCGCTGCAGCGTGAACACGAGTTCGAAGGACCAGAACCGCGGAAATGAGACCATCGCTGCAGTGGGATCAAGATTTGACAGGATTGATCGCGCGGTGCCGAGGCCAACGCTGCAGCAGGAACACGATTTGGAAAAACCGAAACAATGGAATGAGGTCAGCGCTGCAGTGGGAACATTATCTGGAAGGACTGAGAACGGGAGATTCGAGCCAATGCTATAGCGGGAGCACCATTATGAGAGGACGGACATCGTTCGGATTGGAAGCACACATGATTATTTATCAAGTCGGCGGCATCTTGTGCGTAAGAAGTCATACGCGGAGGAGGCCGGGATACCTCACCTGCGTCTTCGGGGGAGAGGAGAGTATTTTTATATTTTGAAATTGTGCGGGGGTGTGGAAGATGAGGAGGATAAGGACCGTTTGTTATCTTCCAGAACCCTCAGAATCCCAAGAAGGCCCTTAACCGACGCCCTCAATCCAGTCTCCTCCTGCTCCTCCTCTCTCCTGGTCCCCTTCCCTCTGGTCCTCCTTCCCCCCCCCTCTCCCTCCCCTCGCCATGGTCGCTTTCCTGGAGGAGGGCGACGGAGGAGGTGGCGCGGGTCCGCTGGTGCCTTGGCATGGGCTGCTCTCTGGGGTCGGGGAAGTCTTCGTAGCGGTGCGGCTGCATGCTGGTTTCTGCTTTTCCTAGAAATTTCGCCGTGATGGTGGTGGTGGTGGTGGTGGTGGTCGTCTTCGTCGTCGGATACTCATGTCTGGAGACATCACGTTGCTCACCTCTAAAATCGGTTCACGGTGCCTTTCTGCCGGCTGCATTTTTTTTTGAAACAGGAGCTTCCGCTCGAGCGTCGGCTTGGTGACGAAGTTGTGTTGTTGGAGGCCCAGCTGCGACGACCACGGCTTTCGCTCTATACTTCATCACACTTTGCTTGGAGACGCCTTGGCAAGAGAGCGCCCCAAACTCACGAGCGACGCTCTCGCTCAAGACTTCCTCTCAGTCGATTCAACTTGTTGGAGGCCCAACTGCGACGACAACGGTTCCCGCTCGATATTTCCCCACAGTTTACTCCGAAACGCCCTGGCCAGAATTGGCCCCAATCTCGAGTGGCGCTCTCGCTCGAGACGTCCTCGCAATTGAGTCAAGTCGTTGGAGGCCCAACTGCGACGGCAACGGCTCCCGCTTGGTACAGCCTCGTAATTTACTCTGACACGCCCTGGCCAGAGAGGGCCCGAAGCCCAGGAGCGGCGCTCCCGCTCAAGACTTCCTCGCAATCAAGCCAAGTTGCTGGAGGCCCAAATGCGACGACCACTGCTCCCGCTCGAAATTACTCCGAGACGCCCTGGCCAGAGAGTGTCCTGCAGATTGGGAAGAGCGCTCTCGCTCGAGATTTCTTCCAAATCAGGCAATCGGCCAAGGCTCATATTCATTTGCTCACGATTCATTCCGAGACGCCCTGGCAAGCAGTGGCTCCAGACTCTGGGGCAGCGCTCTTGCTCCAGACTTCCACACTCGAGCCAAGTTGGTGGAGGCCCAACTACGACGACAAAGAATCCCGCCCGATAGTCGCTCACAGTTTTCTCCGGAACGCCGTGGCCAGAGAAAGTCCGAAACCCAAGAGCGGCGCTCTTGCTCAAGACTTCCTCGCAATCGAGCGAAGTTTTGCAGGCCCAATTGCGACGACGACGGCTACCGCTGGATACTTCCTCACAGTTTCGTTCCGAGAAGCCCTGGCCAGAAATGGCCCCCAATTCGGGAGCGGCGCTCCCGCTCGAGACTTCTTTGCAATTGAACCAAGTTGGCGAAGGCTCAGCCACGACGACAACGTCTCCTGCTTAGTACTCCCTCACAGTTTTTCTGCGAGACGCTCTTGTCAAATGCATTTTCACACGCAGGGATGGCGCTCTCGCTTGAGACGTCCTCGTCATTCCTTTTGTGAAAGCTCAGGTAAGACGACAATGGCTCTCGCTCGATCCTTCGTCACAGTTTTTTCTGAGACGCCCGGGGGGCTCCCAAACTCAGGACCGCCGCTCTTGTCGTTGTCGTGGGCTGCAGAAGTAATTCAACTTTCGTCGTTGTCATTGTTGTCATCGTCGTCGTCGCCGTCGTCGTCGTCGCCGTCGTCGTCGTCGCCGCCGCCGTCGTTGTCGTCGTCCTCGTCGTCGTCGTCGCCGTCGTCGCTGCCGCCGTCGTCGCCGCCGTCGTGTTCGTCGTCGTCGTCGTTGTCGTCGTCATCGTCGATAGAGGGTCGAGGTTTCACAGCGGCCTCCTGTTGCTCTGCTGTCTCACCACCCGCCGGTCCAGGCGGCGCACACAGACATCGTGGCGGCCTCCGGCGGCTGTTTCTCGGCCCCGGGTCGCCGTCAACAAAACCGGCTCGGGACGAGACGCCAGCCCTTGCAAGCAAGTGGGCAGCAAGCGGTGCATCCCAGCCGAGAGACCGCAAGATGGCAGCAAGCGGTGCCTCTCAGCCGAGAAGTCGCCTCCGTGTAGCATCAAGGCTGTGCAAGCGGAACAATACCAGTCAGGTTTTGCCGGAGAGCTCTCGCTGGAGTCCGGTCCTCGTCGAACGTCATGCACAAGATACCCAGTCGCCAAAGGCGAAGCCCCGGATGACAATGTCCTGTCAACATCCGATCACACGGCAGGCAAACAGACAACCGCCGGAGATGTTTGATCGGTGTCGCCCCAACATGCTAATACTATGTGTGCGTCGCCTTCCCAGGGGCGACGCGCGCGCCGAGAAATCTAGTACAAACTCCGTGGCGGGCGCTTTCTGACCATACCGCTCCGGAAACGATATACTACAAGATGGTTACACCACATGGTCGGGTCGGACGCATCATACTAGTGTGTCCTTGTGCGTCTCATTCGAGGTCCCCTGGGGGCCCGTGCCACGAAACAGCTGCAGCGTCGGAGGAGAAGGAACAGTCTGCAGAAATAGTGCAACGCTCGTCGTCGTCGTCGTTGTTGTCGTCTTCTTTGTCGTCGTCGCCGACGATCGAGCATCGAGGTCCTTTTTGTGGCGCGCACAAGGTAGTGGCGCAAGGGCGCTGGCCCTCCACGACTGCGCGTGCTTCTCAGAAGACAGGGGCCTTCCAAGAAGGGCCTGGAAGCTTCTACAAAGACTCCTGAGGCAGGGAGGGCTTCTGAGAAGGCACTTGCCTTCTTGGAAGTCCCCCCCGCCTTCTTAGAAGGCCGCTCTCCTCGCGCTATTCCCCTTGTGCGTGCCGCCAAGTCTTGGGGCGTTCTTGGTCGGCCTGTGGCGTTTTGGGGCGCTCCCGCGGGCTCCTTGGCGGTTCTAAGGGCAGGGCGAGCTGTGTTGCCTCTGCAGGGGGGGGCCCTTGCACGGATCGTCCCGCATGCCTCCCCGCTCTCTTCTCCTTTGACCTGGGCTTCATGTCTTCGCCCTGAGATCCTGGCGCCGCATTTTTTCCCAACCATCCTGTAGTGTTGGGTCCTCGATTTGGAGAGACAGCGCCCTGCGTCTCCTTCCTCATTCTCCTCCTCCTCTTCCTTTTCCTCCTCCTCCACCTCCTCCTCTCCTCCCTCCTCCCATGCCTGCCTTTGCCCTCCGCGTGTCAACCATTTCGGCTCACCCCTCGCACGTTTCGTGGCCCCACATTGATCTCAACCGAAAGCGGTGCCACAACGTGGTGCTCACAACTGCATATGGTTGGGTCCTTCGCCAGGATTTTTTTTACGGGCGACTTTGCCATGTTTCGGGCCCCAGAGACCCTCGTGGGCAGATCCGACACGACGAATGCAGCGGAAAGATGGTGTCCAGGGCTCCGGCCGATTTTTTCTGTGATGGTTGCGTTTTGATGAGTGGCTTCGGATATCAGGGGACCGCATATATGATCCAGGGTCGAGGGTTCACGGGCCCCCCCCCCAGATTGTATGGTCCCAGGATTCCTCGGGCCCCCCCCCCAGATGGTATGGTCCCAGAGACGACGACGACGACGACGACGACGACGACGACGACGATGACGGCGATGGCGACGACGACGACGGCGACGACTACGACGACGGCGACGACGACGACGACGACCACGACGACGATGACGGCTGCGGCGGCGACGCCGGCGGCGGCGGCGGCGCCGACGACGATGACGACGATGACGACGGCGACGACGACGATGACGACGACGACGATGACGACGACGACGACGACGACGACGACGACGACGACGACGACGACGACGACGAGGACGACGACGACGACGACGAGGACGACGAGGACGACGAGGACGACGACGACGACGACGACGACGACGACGACGAGGACGACCTCTGAACCACCACAGCACCACACATCCACAGGGGGGGGAGGGGGGCACCGCAGCGCAGCGCCACGCCACGCCCACTTCTGAACCAAAACAGCACCACACCACATCCACAGGGGGGGAGGAGGGGCACTGCAGCGCAGCACCACGCCACGCCCACAGGGGGGGGCGGGGGGGACCATCGCGCGGGGGGGGGGGGCCCAGTGGCATCAGCATTGGGGGGGGGGGGGGGCCAAGCCCTGGACCATATATAAGCGTTGTCGGATCGGCCATCCAGCCGAAGAGTCGGGACGGGCCCCCCGCAGGAGACTCTGAGTTTCGACCCACCGCCTTCTGCCAAGGACAGGGTGTGAGGGGTGCAGCAGGGAGGCGCATCCATGAGGAGGAGGAGGAGCAGGAGGGTGGGGGGGAAGGGTGAGCAGCGGGTGGGCCCGCAGGGACTTCGTGAATGGCTTCTACAACCCCAAGCTCGGGGCCAGCTACATGAGGCGCGCGGCGGACGGGGATCATACAACGAGGGGTATAATAGGCGGACGGGAGGGAGGGAGAGAGGAAGGGAGGGCGGGGGAGGTGCACGAGGGTGACGGGGATCGGAATTGATTGCGATCTTCGTTCGGAATGAATTTCAGGACGATGAGGGTGACGGGGATCGGGAGGTGGAGGAGGAACAGTAGGAGGAGGATGAGGAGGAGGAGGAGGAGGAGGAGGAGGAGGAGGAGGAGGAGGAAGCTGGGGAGGAGGAGGAGGAGGAGGAGGAGGAGGAGGAGGAGGAGGAGGAGGAGGAGCAGGAGGAGACCACGGGGTAGGACACTTGCCCGTTGGCGCCCAGCATTCGGGGATATCTCACGCGAGACGCTGGCTTTTGAGGTGGGTGTGTTTTTTTTGTTTTCAGGGCTGCCACGAAGAAAACGAATACTTGGAGCAGTCCCGGCAGTCGCCGCGGTACTGGGGTGACCGTCGGATCGAGGATTCCGTTGTCGATTTTTTTGGGCGCGTACCGTTCAACCCTTTAGGGCAGCCCAGCGTCGTCAAATTTTGTGTGGCGGTTGCACGACGACGGTGGGCGCACCGTGGAACCCTTCATGACAGCCCATCGTTGTCAAGGTTTTCGTGGCGGTTGTTAGACGAGCGCGGACACGGTGGTCACGCGCATTTGGGTGTTCACATTCGTTATGGTGCTCGCATGTGGTTTGCTAGACGTAGGACTTGTGTAGGTCTTGGAAAAACTTTGATAAGCCTTGGCTAGGTCGTGGGCGGGCCTTCACCGGGCTCTGGGTAGGCCATGTACTAGCTCTTGAAAGGCCGCCAGGTAGGCCTGAAGCAGGCATTGGATAGGCCGTCGGGCTGACCTTGGGCAGGCCTTGGGATTCGTGGGCAGGCATTGGGCAGTTTGCATTGGGCTTGCTCCAGGTGGGCCTTGGACGCTCTGGGTCGTCTAGGCTTCGGGCCCCTTGAGCCGTCTTGAGAGGCAGTTTTTTTGTTGTTGCTTTTTCACCGATCGGCGCGGGCCCCCCCTCTCCCCAAAGACCAGATTGTGGCTGCTTTTAGCGGCTGCTTCAAGCGGGTGGATGAAGGACTGGGGCCCGCCCCCCCTCCTCCCTGGTGAACACACGAGCTGCTGCTGTGCATGTGTGCGTTGTTTTCTCGAGGCGCCTCTCTGGAAATGAAAAAAAAGGTATGTAGCCTGCTGAAGTGGGATCATACGAAATCCTTTTTAGACCTGCGGCCAGCTGTATTTTTCATTGTTGCACGCCGAGTGGAACACGTCCACTGCGTCGACAACGATATACTTTGCGCGTTGCATGCTGAGTGGAACTCGTCCACCGCGCCCGCAACAGTTCCTCTGCCACGTGGACTGTGATTCCGATGGTCCGCCAAAAAGGGGGGTGGAAAAGGGAGGGAGTGAGAGGGCTTGCTGAGAGGAGAATGCAGGATTAAGGTCGATTGGGGTTCACGGCATGCGTCCGTGGGGACATAGATGGAGGGTACGCTTTTCTGATTGATGATGATTGATAGAAGTCTTTCTGCGCTCCGATGCTGCGAACCCTGGACCGTCGCCACATCTTGCTAGAACCAAAGCGCGCAGCGCGCGAGTGGTTCTAGTTTTTCATAAATCGGAAACCTACACCCGGAGGCCCTGGGGCTGCAGCACACCAGGGTCACCCAGAATCACCGAAGGGCCCCCTCCCTTCCCGGGGCCTCCCCTGAACCTCCCAGGAGCTTCCGCGGAGTCCTTCCGGGACCCCCCAGAGCTTCCAGATAAGTCCCAAGGGAGTCCAAGACGGCCCAAGGGTACCCAAGACGGCTCCCAGAGGAACCCCAAGACGGCCCCAAGAGGCGAAGACCGTACCATACCATTACTTCAGGAACCCGTATGAGTTTAGCATATTCGTTGTTTGGTCTTACCAGCGTCCAAGACGTCCCAAGAGGCCTAGGAGATCGCCCCGAGATGGCCCAAGAGGCGGGACTGAGGACTGGCGACGGCGACGACGACGACGAAAACGACGACATCGTCTCACACACGACGAAGGGTCGGGCGATTTTCGATTTTCGTTGAAATATACCTTGCGGTTCAGTCTCTCAGTTTCGCCCGTTGTCAACATTCTATGGGTGGCGGGTAACCGATTTGATCGATTCGTTGTTGTAATTTTGAGAGGTGGTTTCCTTTGAAGACTTGGCTGTGCGGGGAGTAGCAGAGACTACGGGCACGAGACATCCCGCGGGAGCTCAAGGCACTCTAGCATCCCGGTGCTGTCTGACAAGGGCCGTCTGCCGCCACCCTCCGTGGACGCTCCGTCTTCACTCAACCCAGAGCGGCGGTTAGCCGCGACCCTGGATCCATGCAGGGCGTAGCAGAGACTACGGGCACGAGGCCTCCCGCGGGAGCTCAAGGTACTCTTGCATCCCTGTGCTGTATCCCGCGGGAGCTTAAGGTACTCGTGCATCCCAGTGCTGTCTGCCTAGGGCCGTCTGCCGCCACCCTCCGTGGTCGCTCCGTCCTCACTCTACCCAGAGCGGCGGTTAGCCGCGACCCTGGATCCATGCGGGGAGTAGCACAGACTACGGGCACGGGACATCCCACGGGGGCTCAGGGTACTCTTGCATCCCGGTGCTGTCTGACAAGGGCCGTCTGCCGCCACCCTCCGTGGGTGCTCCGTCGTCACTCAACCCAGAGCGGCGGTTTGCCGCCTGGATCCACGCGGGGAGCAGTTGAGACTACGGGCGCGGTACCTCCTCTCTACACTTCAGCAGCGGTTAGCTGCGACCCTGGCCCCCACCCCCCCCCCCCCCCCCCCCATGGACGCGTCGGCCTTCGAGGTGGCAGCACTGCCCTGAGCGAGTCAGTCCACTGGCTGCAGACTGCCCACCCTGGACCACACCAGTAGTGGACGAAAATATCGACCGTTCGGTACTACCTTCCTCTCAGCGGCGGTTAGCTGCGACCCTGAATGCCCCTGGGGGAATGGCGGCCGTGTCCCCTGGCCAGGTGCACCTACGATGTGCGGTGATGTCTGTCCCCACTTTCGGGCTCGAGACATCCCGCGGGGGCTCAGGGTACTCTTGCATCCCAGTGCTGTCTGCCCAGGGCCGTCCGCCGCCACCTTCCGTGGGTTCTCCGTCTTCACTCAACCCAGAGCGGCGTTCGCCGCGACCCTGGATCCACACGGGGAGCAGCTGAGACTACGGGCGCGAGACCTCCCGCGGGTGCTCAAGGTACTCTTGCATCCCGGTGCTGTCTGACAAGGGCCGTCTGCCGCCACCCTCCGTGGACGCACCGTCTTCCCTCAACCCAGAGCGGCGGTTAGCCGCGACCCTGGATCCATGCGGGGAGTAGCAGAGACTACGGGCACGAGGCCTCCCGCGGGAGCTCAAGGTACTCTAGCATCCCTGTGTTGTCTGCCAAGGGCCGTCTGCCGCCACCCTCCGTGGTTGCTCCGTCTTCACTCAACCCAGAGCGGCGGTTAGCCGCGACCCTGGATCCATGCGGGGAGTAGCAGAGACTACGTGCACGAGGCCTCCCGCGGGAGCTCAAGGTACTCTAGCATCCCGGTGCTGTCTGCCAAGGACCGTCTGCCGCCACCCTCCATGGACGCTCCGTCTTCACTCAACCCAGAGCGGCGGTTAGCCGCGACCCTGGATCCACGCGGGGGGTAGCAGAGACTACGGGCACGAGGCCTCCCGCGGGTGCTCAAGGTACTCTTGCATCCCGGTGCTGTCTGCCTAGGGCCGTCTGCCGCCACCCTCCGCGGTCGCTCCGTCTTCACTCAACCCAGAGCGGCGGTTAGCCGCGACCCTGGATCCATGCGGGGAGTAGCAGAGATTACGGGCACGAGACATCCCGCGGGAGCTCAAGGTACTCTAGCATCCCAGTGCTGTCTGCCAAGGGCCGTCTGCCGCCACCCTCCGTGGTCGCTCCGTCCTCACTCTACCCAGAGCGGCGGTTACCCGCGACCCTGGATCCATGCGGGGACTAGCAGAGACTACGGGCACGAGGCATCCCACAGGGGCCCAGGGTACTCTTGCATCCCGGTGCTGTCTGACAAGGGCCGTCTGCCGCCACCCTCCGTGGGTGCTCCGTCGTCACTCAACCCAGAGCGGCGGTTTGCCGCGACCCTGGATCCACGTGGGGAGCAGCTGAGACTACGGGCGCGGTACCTCCTCTTTACACTTCAGCAGCGGTTAGCTGCGACCCTGGATGTACCACCACACACCCCCCATGGATGCGTCGGCCTTCGAGGTGGCAGCACTGCCCTCAGCGAGTCAGTCCACTGGCTGCAGACTGCCCACCCTGGACCACACCAGTAGTGGACGAAAAGATCGACCGTGCGGTATTACCTTCCTCCCAGCGGCGGTTAGCTGCGACCCTGGATGCCCCTCGGGGAATGGCGGCCGTGTCCCCTGGGCAGGTGCACCTGGGATCCGTACGATGTGCGGTGATGTCTGTCCCCACCGCCTCTCTCCTCGGGTCCCTCTCGGGCCGGGCTCTGGCCACGTCCACTTCTTGGGAGCCCCTCCGCGTAGAGGGTCGGTGATGTCAGTTCCCACCGTCCCTCCCCTCGGGTCTCCCCCAGGCTGGGCTGCCGCCAGGCTCGAGTCCTGGTCTCGGAGTCGAACGTCCCCACTCCCCAGGGCGGCCCAGGACCCCAGCTGATAACGGTAACTTTACCTCACCTTCGGCGGCGGTTAGCTGCGACCCTGGACGCCCGCGGGGACTGACGGGTTCGAAGGACCCCCGCTGATAGCGGTAACTGTACCTCACCTTCAGCGGCGGTTAGCTGCGACCCTGGACGCCCGCGGGGAATGACGGATTCGACGGAGACCCTGGAGTGCAGGGGTGACCGCCCTCAGTGCAGCCCCTCCCTGGATCCCCCTGCCTCGCTGGCGATGTTCACCACGCCAGCCTGGCGGTCTCCTACAGTCCATCTGGCGTCGGCTCTGTGCCGTTGTTGGAGGGGCCGGCCCACTGACGTCCGGGCTTCCTTCGGGCACGGGACGATGGCCCCTTGGGTACTGTGGTCGCGCAGGAGTGGTTTAGCCTTCTGCAGTCGCAACACCACCCTGGACTCATCCCCCTCTTCAGGCAGGTTTGCGACGTCCCTCGGCAGCTCAGCTCCCCTAGCCCGCACACGCCGTTGGGACGGCCCTGGGCCTGGCGCCCCACTGGCGATTCGCCCATCGTTCTTCTCGCCTGTACGCCCACCCAGCATGATGGACACGTCGACATCTTCGTGCACGTCCCCGCGTCGTCTGTGTGGGCTATACCTCACGGCATGCACCGACTTTATCGGCATTTTGTCAGACTGCACGTGCCTGAGCTTCCCTGGATGCCCCCAGCTGTCAGCCTCCCGCACAGCCCCGCTGCTGCTTGGTGAGTGGGCCGGCCGGCTAGCGGCGCGTCTTGTAGCTAATTAGGTTTGTTCGTAGGCCGGGACGAGTTCTCTCGCCGCCTGCGCTCTTCGCTCGCGGCAAAAAAAAAAAATCCCCACCAGCCCATTTGGAAACCCTGCCCATGAGAGTTGACGGAGAATGGACGAAAAAGACACATGTAGTAAAACAAAGTGGGCAACCAGGGTGATAGATCCCTGGGAGCAAGGGGGTGGCCTCGGAGGGCCTCTTCGGGCCATCGCTGCAGCCCGCGTGGGGACGAGGGAAGTTGGAGGAGGAGGAGGAGGAGGAGGAGGAAAACGACGACCACGACGGCGAGGACGAGGAGGAAAACGAGAAGGAAAACGATGAGGGCAAGGACGAGGACGAGGACGCCTCTTGGGGTCATCTTGGAGGCCATCGATCAAAAGGGGGGGGTCCCCGATTTGGTTCCCCCCCCTGGGGTTTGCCTCTTGGGGCCCTCTTGGGGCGGTCTTGGGCCGCGCTTGGGCGCTCTTGGTTGGGGTCGTCTGGAGGGCCTCTTCGGGCTCCTCTTGGGCCTCTCTTGGGCCATCTTGGTGTCATCTTGAGATCTCCAAAGCGCATCGGAAGCGAAAAGGCGGGAAGGTAAGCATCATTGATGTTCTTTAGGTTTTTGAAGCAGTTGGACCTCTTGGTGGGTCCAGAGGTGCTCTGGGAACACTTCGAGCCGTCTTGTGACCCTCGTCGGGCCTCTTAGAGGTATGTTGGAAGAGCCATCGTCGGCTATCGTGGGCTATCTTGGAGGCCATCTGGGAGCATCGGATGCCCTCTTGGAGCCGTCTTGGGCGAAACAGAACCCTCTAATACATCGTGGCCCGCTCCCCCCAAAAAGAGGGGTGGGGAGGGGAGGGGGCGCCTCCCCGAAGAAAAGAGGGTTTTGGGAGAGGAAAAACGATATCGCTGGACCACCTTAGCCCAAAGGGCTGGTGGGACTGACTTAGGTAGATCCATATGGGGCGTTCCAGCAAGGGCCTCGCCTTCGAGGATCGAAGGAGTTGGCATCTCTTCTTCGGTGGAAGGCGGCTGAAGGGCGGCGGAAGGCGGCGGAAATAAAGCGAGGACGCCTCCGCTGGCGGAAGCTTGGCGAAAACTGGCGGAAGTAGACGATACGCCCCCAAGAGATTCCGAAACCCGCCAGATAGAACGAAGTACATCGAGAGAAATCGAGGTACGTCCACATGACTCTACGCAGACGTCGAGATATCCAGGTCAATCTTGGGAAATCATGGAAGCTCCAGCGCGAGTCGAGGGACACCAGAAGTCGTTAAGCCCTTAACGATCGAGGTGGCAGGCCAGTTCAGGAAGCTTCTGCCCGAGGGCCGCACGCGCACGCTGCCTCTGCTCGCCTCTCCGCCCCCGGGCGCATGGGGCTCCGGGAGGTGGCCCTTCGTGCTGCCGTACTCCAGAGAGGCTGCCGGCGTCCTGGTTGCACAGCCCTGCGCAGCAGGGAGGGCGGAGGGAGGTGGGACACGTGAGGATCAGGGGCAACGTTCGGGGGGGGGTAGGCTGAGGGGGGGGAACGCAATCGAAAGGTTTCCGGAGTTCTCGGAAGTTTTCGGAGCCCGGGGTGGTCTCCATCAGCTGCGCCTCGTCTAGGGCGTTCTGGGGGTGCTGGAATCGTCCCGAACGGCCGCTGCGAAGCCGAGTTATGACCTGAAAATCAAAGGGCAAAGTTAGGGACGTTAGGGGGGATAGGCTCAAGGGGGAGGCATCGACCCCTAATCGCCCATTGCTCGCCGATAGTGGCACGATAGCCCCCCAGGGTCGTGCGGTTTCGCTAACGGCTGCCTTTCGCCAGCCTATCAGCGATGTATTGCGGATTCCAGCTTGATGTTTTTCCCTCCGAGCTGGTCCCCCACGATCGTCGCGGCGGCGGTCTTTCGTGGAGGAGGAGAGCTGTAGCAACCTTGCTGCAATAAGGATCATTTTTGCTTCGGAACGGGCTCGCTGTTCCTTAGGGCGTCCTCCTCGTTCCCCTCGTCCTTCTCGTCCTCCTCCTCTTCTCCTCCTCCTCCTCCTCCCCCTCCTCCTCCTCCTCCTTCTCCTCCTCCTCTTCCTCCTCCCTCTCCTCCTCCTCCTCCTCCTCCCTCTCCTCCTCCTCCCTCTTCTCCTTCTCCCTCTCGTCCTCCTCTTCTTCCTCCTCCCGTTCCTCCTCCTCCTCTTCCTCCTCCTCCTTCTCCTCCTCCTCCTCCCCTTCCATGGTTCTTTCTCTGGCGCTTCTCGTGCACCATGGTTTTTGTGTGGAGCCGGACAGGAAATTCGTTCCTTCTTCAGCGTTCCGTGCAGTAGCAGTTTGCCTGTAGAAGATTTGGTCTGCTGGGGTGCCGCGGTTCCTAAGGATGAGCTGCCCATCACCACTCAGCGCAGTGCTTTGCCTAGGGGTCCGAGGCACGTACAATCCATAGCACTGGCGATGGTGATCGAACGGTGCAGCTGGGAGCGTCAGCGACGGAGTTACCCCTTGCAAGTTTCACGCTAGCTGAGCTCTCGCTCTTGTGCTCCCTGCCCTTATCATTGTGGCGCTTGCGCTTGCTTCCGTGCGTGGGCCGCCTTGTGACGTAGCATCGCCTGCTTTTCCTCTTCCTCCCCCTCCTCCTCCTCCTCCTCCTCCTCCTCCTCCTTCCTTCCTTTCCTCCTGCAAGCCCTTGGTGCTTGCCGCTCGTTGCGTCCGAGGCGTGTGCTGCGCGAAGCTCTGGGCAGGTTCAGTGAGAGCGCTCGTGCAAATCAAGCGAGGACGCTGACGGGGGGGAGGAGACGGATGAGAGGGGATGAGGAAGGACCATCGTGCAATGTTGGAGTGCTTACCGTCCCATGAACGGTATGATAATGGCTGTCGCGGGGGATGAGGATGGTGTGGGGTCGGAGGATGGTGGCAGGGTCTCGGCCGAAATGACTAGCCGAAACCGATCGCGGCGAGAAGGGTGGTAATATGTAGGATCAGCTGTGTCGTAAACGTGCTTCTTGGAGAGGTCAGCGCGACGGTTTCAGTGAGACAGTGTTGATGTGGGGAGGAGGGGACGGGGATGTCAGCAGGTGGAGCATGCGGGGCACCTGGAAGCGGACAAGGTGGAGGAGGAGGTGGAGGAGGAGGGCCCAGACGTCCGACGTCGTGACTTCTTCCCAACGTGACTCTCCGGAGGTCAGGACCCCTTCCCAGGACTGGATCTTCATCCCGAGCCGTTCTTGACGGTCCCGGGGCCCGCTGAGGGCCCCCGGAGGCCGACACTGAGCAACAGGCATCCGTAGTGTTTCTTTTCGCCGGGAGAGGACGCCAGGTGTGGAGGAGGAGGAGGGGGAGGAGGAGGAGGAGGAGGAGGAGGAAGAGGAGGAGGAGGAGGAGGGGGGGACGAGGAGGAGGAGGAGGAGGTGGTGAAGGAGGGGGAGGAGGATGAGGAGGAGGAGGAGGAGCCCAGAGAGGCCGACAGCCTCCTGCACTACCCCGACGTCTCGCAGGTCACGGGGAAGCTCGTCGACTGGTACCACGACGCCCCGAGCGACGGCTACGACGGCGCGCGGGTGTACGGGGAGAACACCCTGGAGCTCGAAGAAGAACAAGCGATGGACAACATGTTCAGAGGCCCGCGCGGATTTTCTGGGATGTGCGTTGGATCCACCTGGCGGCACCTCCGGCGCCGCGAGGGAGGGGCCCTGCGCCGATCCAAGAAATCCAGGTGGAGTTCCGAACGTGCATGTTTCTGTAGAAGCATTCTTCTTCTAGGAGCTCAAGGGGATGCCGATGGGCAAGACACCAGAGTACATGCAGGAGCGCCTCCAGAGCTTCTTTCGGACGCAATCTGGGGAGGTTCATTTCGGCATTGGCGCTGGTACATCCGCGATCGAACACTGGTCTAATCCGGCATAGTCCCGCTTCATTCCGGTTAATCCTTATGAATTCTGGTCAATCTGGCCTGATCGGCTCAATGGCTTTTAATCGGGCTCATGAGCCTTGTATCTCTCTTGCGAAGACATTCGAGCAGTTACCATCCAAGGCTCCGAATGAGAGCGATACCGCTACTCCTGGACTTCAGGGGTGCGTTCTGACGAGAATTTCGAGGCGACTCATCCCAGGAGGCCCAGAAAGGCGAAAACGAGGCACGGGTAGCGGTGTCGATGCCTTTTCCTTTGAGGAGCGCCTCCGGCGGTTCTTCTCCAAGTTCGGCCCCGTGCGCCACTGCCGCGCCGAGCCGCACCCGCTGGACCCCTACCAGTGCGAGGGCACGGCCTTCGTGAGCTTCCGGGACCGCAGCGCGGCGCTGCGGGCGCTGAGGGCGCCCCTGAAATTCCCGGCCTCGCTGCACGACAAGGTGGTGAGCATGCGGCACCTGGACTCGGACAAGGCAGGGCCCATTACCAGACATCCGTTCGTTGCGGAGAAATCACGGAGGGCTTTCGTAAATTTCGGCCACGGGGGGCCCTCGCTGGGTCCCGGGACTGTCAAACAACGATTCACGACTTTTGGGGACCCCGTATTGAGGAAATGAAGACATGGGGTGCCTGGGTCCATTTCGATGTCGATTCTGGCCGGTCCGACCCGATTCGACTCCGACTTTCCGACGATCTGGTGCGACCCCCTGCCTGCATGACGCTCGCTTTTGTAGATTCCGGCGCGGTCGATTCGAGTCGATCTCGACCCCGTGCTGACTGGTGCAGACATGCCAGACGCACGCGCCGATTTCCGACCAAAGCTCTCGATCCGATCTGCTGCCGGATCCTGGCAAGGTGAGCGACCCGGACTACCACGAGAAGTGCAAGTTCTGGAACAGGGTGCTCCGGGGCAACGTCAGGGAGGGACGGGCTCCAGGGGGGATGCATCGGCCCCCAGACGCCGATGGGGGCCCGATAGCCCACCCCGTTCAGGTACGGGTGGTTTCGCTATCTAGGGGTCCATCGCCGACCTATCGGCGATGTATCGCCGAGTCCAGGTCGATGGTCCCCCCCGAGCCGGTCTCCTGGTGGTTTTCGGGTCGTAGCTCGGGCTTCTGGCGGTCGTTCGGGACGATCCAGGCACCCTCGAGGCGCAGCTGCTGAAACGGATCCCGAGACAGGAAAGCCTCCAGGAACATACGAAAACGAGAGAAACCCCGTCCGAGAACGAGCTCGAGGGGATGCGCTCCCCCCCTGAGCCTGCCCCCCCCCGCCCTCGCTGCCCCTCAGGAGCTGCTTTCGGTGGCCCGCGCCCTCCACGCGCAGCTCGCCGGCGACCCGGAGCTGCGTCGCGACGGGAAGCCCCTGCAGGACGCTGGGGCCGGCCTCTACGAGAGGGAGCTGGTGGCCAGAGAAGAGGGATAGTAAGCGTAATGTTGGGAAAAAGAATATGGATTAACAGTAGTAATGAGAGTGATAGACTAATGGTCGTATTGCTCATAACGTAGAGAATCATGTTTCGAGCAGGAAGCATACGACGAATACGATTTATACGAGTCATCGTAATGGTAATACTACTACGGATCATCTTTATATGCGTAAGCACGAGAACAATGACAGTACTCGTGATCATATGCAAACGGCGATTGATAATCATACTACTAATCCAGAGTACTACCACTACTGCTACTACTGATTTTGCTGCTGCTGCTACTCTACTACTACTCTACTACTACCACTACTGAAACTACCACCACAACTATCTCTACTACCGCTACTACTGCTACTACTACTACTACGACTACTACTACTGGTAGCAGTACGACTACTGCTACTACTACTACTACCACTACTACGACGACTACTACTACTACTACTACTACCACTACTACGACGACTACTACTACTACTACTACTACTACTACGACTACTATCAGTACTACAACTGCTACTAATATCACTCGTACTCGTACTAGTACTGGTAGGAGTACTAGTACAACTACTAGTATTAGTATGATTACTACTCCAACTACGTGTGCTACTACTTTTGCTTTTACTTTGATTATTACTACTACTATTACGACGACTGCTACTACTACGACTATTGATATTACTACTACTCTTTCGACTACGGCTACGGCTACGACTACTAATATTATTCTTAATATTTTTATTGCTACTACTACTAGTGCGAGTAGTTCTTCTACGACTACGACTGCGACTACGGCTAAACATACGACTATTATTGTTATTGCCACTACTACTACTACTACTGTCACTACTACTACTGTCACTACTACTACTACTACTACTACTACTAGTACTAGTAGTACTACTACTACTACAACTACTACTAGTACGACTGCTGCTACTACTACCACTACTACTTCTACTTCTACTTCTACTATTACTACTAGTACCACAACTACGATCACTACTAATACAACCAGTAATATTTTTTTCTGCTGCTACTACTGCTATCACACAAACTATTACCACTACTATCATTATTAGTGCTTCTACTGCCACTAATACTACTAACCTGTGCTGTTTAGTATGACGTCTTATTCCACTAGTTTTACTGCTACTATCAACACCGCGATTAGTACTTCTACTACCACTACTACTGCTACTACTACTACTACTACTACTACGACTACTACTACTACCACTACTACTACTACTACTACTACTACTACTACTACTACTACTACTACTACTACTATTTACTATTTACTATTTACTATTTACGATGTATTATTTATTATTTACTATTTACTATTCACTATTTACTATTTACTATTTACTATTTACTATTTACTATTTACTATTTACTATTTACTATTTACTATTCACTATTTACTATTTATCATTTACTATTTACTATTTATTATTTATTATTTACTATTTACTATTTACTGTTTACTGTTTACTGTTTACTATTTACTATTTACTATTTACTATTTACTATTTACTATGTACTATGTACTATTTACTATTTACTTTTTACGACTACTACTACTACTACCACTACTACTACCATTACCACTTCTACTATTATTTTTTACTACCATTACGCTTACGGCTAAGACTGCGACTACGCATACGACTACTATTAATAGCCACCAGCCCTTCCCGTCCTCACCCCCCAGCCCACTTCCTCCCGCCCCCTCCTCACACCTACCCCACCGCCATACTCTTCCGCCCCCGCCCCTTCCCCAAGAGAGGCGACGGACAAGGAAGAGACGCATGACACGAAGAAACGCTATGCTTCTCATCAGCATCCTCATCCTCATCATCATCATCGTCAGCATCAGCACCATCATCATCATCAGCATCATCATCAGCATCATAATCATCATCATCATCATCATCATCATCATCATCATCATCATCATCAGCGGCCTGGGCTGAACAGGACGAGCAGGATTAATGTCAGCAGGCCTGGGTTGATCCAGCGGAGGGCGGACGGCGTGTATAAGAGAGGGTGAGGGACCCCACCAAAAAACTGCAAAACACCTGAGACTCTGCACACACACGCACAAACAACACCCAACAACACCATCGGCGGGACACTGTTTTGTCTGGGGGAGGGGAGCGAGTTCGGAGGAGGGGGACGACTTCGGAGGAGGGGGGAGTTTCTGGGGAGAGGAGTTTTCGGGGGGTGGGGGGTTCTGGGGAGAGGAGTTTTCGGGTCTCGGGGGAGGGGGAGGTTATCGAAGGAGGGTGAGGGTTTCGAGGGGGGGGGGGGGGTCGGTGGATGGTTAGGTTTTCAGAGGAGGGGGGGATTTCGGAGGAGGGGGGCGGCGTCGGAGGAGTGGGATGGTTTCTTGGGAGGGGGAGGTCTTCGGAGGAGGGTCTCGCGGGAGGGGGGAGATTTCGGAGGAGGGGATGCTTTCGGAGGAGTGCAGCTGTTTTCGTTGGAGGGAGGTTTACGGGGGAGGGACTGTTTTCGGAGGGGGAGGAGGAGGAGGAGGAGGTTGTCGGAGGAGGGGGAGGTTTTCGGAGGATTGGGAGTTGTTGGAGGAGTGTGAGGGTTTCGGGGGAGGAGGAGGTTTTCGGTGAAGGTGCGGGGGGGGGGGGGGGGGGGGTCGAGGGAGGGGGAAGATTTCGGAGGTGCGGAACAGTTCCGGGGGAGGTGGCGGAGAGAGGGTTCGGAGGAGGGTGAGGTTTTCGGAGGATGGGAGGTTTTCGGAGGATGGTGAGGCTTTCGAAGGGGGGGTGTTCGGAGGAGGGGCAGGTTTTCGGAGGAGGGTGACGATTTCGGACGAGGAGGAGGTTCTCGACGCAAGGGCGCATTTTCGGAAGAGGAGGAGGAGCAGGGCTTCCGAGGATCGGGAATATTTCGGAGGAGGGGATGTGGATTTCGCATGAAGGGTGGAGTGGGGACAAACATTTCAATGACAACTTTTTCTTTGCAGCCCCTCAGGTATTTCTGGATTTCCCCCCGTCCCCTCCTATACGCCACTCCTCCCCCTATTCCTGCTCTTCCCCCTCTTCTTCTTCTTCTTCCTCCTCCTCCTCCTCCTCCTCCACCGAACACTCCCCCCTTTCGAAAGCATCACCCTCCTCCGAAAACTTCCCCATCCTCCAAGAACCTCACCCTCCTCCGAACCCTCTCTCCTCCACCTCCCCCGAAACTGTTCCGCATCTCCGAAATCTTCCCCCTCCCTCGACCCCTCCCTCCTCTTCTCCGACAACCCCCTCCTCCCCCGAAACCCTCACCCTCCTCCAACAACTCCCAATCCTCCGAACACCTCCTCCTCCGCAAGCCTCCTCTTCCGAGAACCTCCTCCTCCTCCGAAAACAGTCCCTCCCCCGTAAACCTCCCTCCAACGAAAACAGCTGCCCTCCTCCGAAAGCATCCCCTCCTCCGAAATCTCCCCCCTCCCGCGAAACCCTCCCTCCTCGGAAGACCTCCCCCTCCCAAGAAACCATCCCACTCCTCCGACGCCGCCCCCCTCCTCCGAAATCCCCCCCTCCTCTGAACACCTCACCCTCCGCCGACCCCCCCCTCGAAACCCTCACCCTCCTCCGATAACACTCCCCCGAGACCGCCCCCCCCCCCCCCCCCCCCCCTACGAAAACTCATCTCCCCAGAAAACTCCCCCCTCCTCCGAAGTCGTCCCCCTCCTCCGAACTCGTTTCCCCCCCCCGGACCAAACATGGTACCGCGGTTTCTTTTTTCTGTGTGTGTCTGTGTGTGGTTGTTTTTTTGCTGTCTGCCATTTGGTTTGTTTCTTTTCATTTTTGGTAGGATGTCTCACCCTCTCTTATACACGCCGCCCGCCCTCCGCTGGACCAACCCAGGCCGCTGATATTAATCCTGCTCGTCGTGTTCAGCCCAGGCCGCTGATGACGATGATGATGATGATGCTGATGCTGATGTTGATACTGATGATGATGATGATGCTGATGATGATAATGATAATGATGGGGAGGGTAAGGAGGCTGCTGCTGCTGCTGATGATGATGATTAGGAGGAGGAGAAGGAGGAGGAGGAGGTATTTGAAGGAGTCACGGATGTGGCCTCGGGCGCTTGGAAGGCGAGGTAGGGCATGGGGGGCCGCTGCCTATTACTGCTACTACTACTACTACTACTACCACTACTACTACTACTACTACTATTACTACTACTACTACGAGTACTACCTACTACCACTACTACTACTACTAGTAGTAGTAGTACTACTACTTCTACTACTACTGCTACTACTGCTACTGCTGCTGCTTGTACTACTACTACTACTACTACTACTACTACCCTACTACTACAACAACAACTACTACTACTGAGACTACTACTAGCACCACTACTACTACTACTACTACTACTACTACTACTACTACTACTACTACTTCTATTTTTATAACTGCGTTGTTTGTACTACTACTACTACTACTACTACGACTACTACTACTACTACTACTACTACTACTACCTACTAGCAGTAGTAGAAGTAGTAGTAGTACTACTACTACTACTTTTACTACTACTACTACTACTACTGCTACTGCTGCTGCTTGTACTACTACTACTACTACTATTGCTACTACTACTACTACTACAACTACTATTACTACTACTACTACTACTACCCTACTACTACAACAACAACAACAACTACTACTACTACGACTACTACTACTACTATTACTACTACTACTACTACTGTTTTTTTTAACTGCAATTATTTGTACTACTACTACTACTACTACTACTACTACTATTACTTCTACTGCGACTACTGCCACTACTACCAATGGTACTACTACTACTACCACCACCACTACTACTATTTATACTACGACTGCTACTGCTACTGTTGCTACTACTACTACTACTAGTTCCACTTCTTCTATTCCTATTAGTTCTAGTACTACTACTACTACTACTACTACCACTATCAGTACTACTACTACTTCTACTACCACTATCAGTACTACTACTACTTCTACTACTACTACGACTACTACTACTACTAATGCGACGACTCCTGCTACTACGGCTACTACTACTCTTACTACTACGACCACTACGACTATCACCCTTACTACTACTAGTATTAGAACTTCTAGTGCTACTACTGCTGCCACTCTTACTTTTTGCTATTATTGCTAACTTTACTACTACTACTACTACGACTACTATCACTACTACTACTACTACTACCTCTAATGCTACTACGGCCGCCACTACTACTGCTGCTACTACTGCTGCTACTACTATTACAGCTACTGCTACTACTACTTCTTGCATGTCTACTGCTACTCCTTCTGCTAGTGGTATAATTCGTACAATGTGTACTAGTAGTAGTACTACTACTACGACTACTACTACTACTACGACGACTACTACTACTACTACTACTACTACGACTACGGCTGCGACTACCACTACTACTACTACCACTACTGCTACTACTACTACTACTACTGCTACTACTATTACTACTACTACTAT